TACCTGCCCAGCCTGTACTGCGGTTCATTGCACACATGTTATAAAACACAGCATCACATAAAAACTATGCTAATGGCAGTTCCAACCAAACCAAGAACTAATGAACACCCCACCGCATGCTAAGAACCCCCGTTCTTTGCCGCTACCAATAAAACCCAGACCGACCACAGCCTTCTTACCCTACCCATTCACATCAACTTAACCCATGAACACTGAACCCAAACCCTTCCTATAAACACCCGTCCCAGAACCCTCAACCCTGGCAGGCCGCTGATGAAATACAGACTAATACGCAGCTGCTGCAAATCTAGCAAAAAAACAGTACAGTATCCAACACCACCATACACCCCCAACCAAAAAACCCCAAACATGCACGACTCCACCCCATACGTAAACTCAACACTGAAACCACTAATCTTATACACTTTTTCGAAGAAAAACCCTTAAATACGGGTGAAATGCTATGTGTGCAGGTACAGCGACTACACACCATGGAGGACGGAAGACTCGGATGGAAGATCAGCAGAGAAAGTGACAAAATCATAATCCCTGCCACAACTGAAATCGAATGATGGATATGATCAAATTCAAGAGAATCTTTGAAACAATTCTGGAAAACATAACCCCAATGCGTTACCCCTCCTCGCCAAATGTACATTCTCATGGACCTACAACGACCATATCGCCAAAACCTTAGACAAACCTGCTGCCGTCTTCCGGGACTTTGAACTTGTGGACTGGCTGAGCCAGTTACAAGGAAGTTGTTTTTGCCAACACCAAAGATATGTCATGTTTTCTAACCCTCTGCCCCCAGAACTGTTACCCCGAGATGAGGCTACACATGTCATCACACTAGACTTAAACATAATCACCAATAAAGAACTCCAAAAAATGGCCCGATGCGGGTTAAACCGTATCCTCCTGCAAACCCTCAAACTAACGGACGTCCTGACAGCCGCACAGCAGGTATGGAATAACCTCACAGCCATTCCAGAGAAAAACGGGGTGCCGTTCGTAAATAACCATATACAAGAAGCTAGCAAAGAATTCACCGACACCATTGTGCGCAATACTGCAGATTACAAAATGCACAAAGAAGCTAATATACGCGACCATGCAATCAAACACGAAAGCGACTTCCTCACCAGGCACTTCTACATTTCCGGGGCTGACAAAGCCCCGAGCACACCAGTGATCATCTGTATTAATCTAATAAGGTACCTCGCCCTGCATGGACTCTCTAGTCCCGACTTTGAACCGTGCCCAATATCACCAAACGAGCTACTAAACCAATTAGAAGATGAGCTTATCTCAACCTTTCCAGACATCCCAACCAGAAAAAGGGTGCTTCCTTACCTGTTTGCCGCATACAAGAAACACAAAAATTCATTCCGTTGGCTGACCAACGCGTCAGACATAATCTCTTCTCCTCTGGCTGACCTCGCGGCTGCCATTTTCAAGACACTAATTAGAGTAGTAAAAATTCACTGTGGAAACCTCACGCAACAAACTCTCACAGAAAATAACCTGAAAGTACCCTACTGGTGGCCCATTGACTCGACAGCCGACTACGTCTACAACTTACCCCACCAAGCAACTGCGGTTTTTACTGCTGACATTACAAGATGCTACGAAACCATACGCTGGGATGACAGCACGGATGGACTCCCCAATGCAATTCAATTCTTTACTAAGCTAGCCTTCCAACATGCAAAGAAGACCTTTGGACCCGCTGTATAGCTTGCCTTCAAATTCTACTACAAAGGTGACCAGCTCACACCTACCTGCGACTGGTATAACCACCCCCCTAATGGATACCTCTCGCTTACTGATAAGATGGTTATCACGATCAACTGCTGGCTAATCTCCAACGACTACACCTCCTTTGGCAACAGAGTCTGGAAACAGACCCTGGGGATTCCCATAGGAGTCAGTTGTTTGCCAGTATGGTGTAACATTTACTTTTTCAAATACGAGTATAGGTTCATGAAAAAAATGATCCACAAAACTAACAGACACCTCCTACACTTGTTCCAGCATGTATTCCGCTACTTTGATGACTTCCATATCCTTAACAACCCAATAATACACGAATTCCTCGACCCTGAAATCACCAGCCCAAGGAGTAAATACTACTTATACCCTCTGCAGCTAATCACTCTCAATGAGCAAACTCCTAAAAAGACAAAAATTAATGACAATCTCGTCGGAACCAAGACTAACTTCCTAAACACAACGATTCAAATCACCAATACACTAACTGGACAATACAAAACATACAAATTCGACAAAAGAAAAGAATTAAACTTCCCCATCACTAGGGTTATCCAAGCACACTCCAACAGACCAGCACAGCAGTCCCTCAAGGGCCTCAACCTTATAATACCCCAAATCATCACAATCATGGTAATCGAATCTGAACCCCAGCACATGGAAATCGAAATAAGCAAAACCATTAACTGCTTGGCACATAATGGCTTCTCTAGGCATAGACTGGTAGGGATCGTCAAAAAGATTCTCCAGCACCCAAATGACTACCAACCCTTCCGCTGTTGCACGGAAGATGTACTCAAACAACTTCAAATAGCCCATGATAACTAAGCCCCATAAATAACTAGGTAGAAATAATGCAACAAGCCAATCAACTTCACTACAACTAAATCATCACAAATATGTTTAGACCCCCACCATTCATGACCGAAATAAACTATGCCCCCCCCCAAAAAAAACATAAAAAAAAAAAGAATTAAGTTCAATTAACACATAAACACTCCCAAACTGCAAAAACGCCAACAACCCTGCAGCTACCAACCGCATCACCTGCCCATACCAAAAGAACAACTAGTGTAACTCCAACACAACCGCTAGTAGAGAAAAGTCAACGTGCATATGTGCGTGTGTATATGCCAAGAAAACTGGCATGGTTCGGATGGAGGACCTACCCCGGATGGGGTAGGTCCTTAATCCTAATTAAAAACGACCTACCCCACCCGAACCTCCATCACGAGGGAACGGGGAGGGACACACACACACACACACACAAACACATATAATAACTTTAAAAATAATTAGTATATATATAACTTTTTAAAGATAAAAGCAACAAATAATGATATATCTCATTTAAAAAAATAATAATATAAAAGAATGAAAAAAAAAAATCTTACTAAAATAATAATAAAAGAATAAAATAATTAAATATAAATAAAAATATAATATTTTTTTTATAAAAATATATATAATATTAATTAGCTAAAAAATAACAGATAATTGTTTTAAATTTTACACATAAAATGACCCGGAGAACAACTTCTTTACATTAAATATTCATAATAAAAATAAAATAAGAATTGACCCTGTAAAATTCGCAAAGTTTAGACCTTTTTCAGCAATATATACCCCCTTTATAAATACATGCTAATTACAAGCTACCACCCCTGAAGCAGGATCCCGGGGAGCAAACTTATGCAGCGGAAACAGTAAACCGGTACACCCATATATCTTGAGAGATACCCCTTACATTCCTGTTATGGGTCAATAGGACCCCCCACCCACTGCACGAAAACAAACAACAAAAGAAAATAAGATCAATGCTCGCAGGTCGTAAAATTGTGAAAGGACGCTCTCACTTGGGTACCGTACGGAGCACATGCAAAAACGCTATTTAAAAGGCACTACCTAGAAACGACGCACCTTACACACTACAGGACAAATGGACAAGCAAACAGGACAGACATATTGTGGCGCATCCATCCTCCACCATAGCCAGACCATCTCCCAAAACGACAAAGGAACCCACACCATGTACGCTCTGATGCTCTAGCAAAAACAAAGACGGAAACGGCGCTAGCAAACCGACAAGTTGCGACAACAACTACGACGGAAGGATCGCATGACTCACCGCTCGCAGTACTCCCTCACCCCGTTCGCAACAAAGACGGAAACGGCGCTAGCAAACCGACAAGTTGCGACAACAACTAAGACAGAAGGATCGCATGACTCACCTCTCGCAGTACTCCCTCACCCCATCCACAATGCGAATTAGCACGTATGCAGCCATGGCTGAAGCAATCCCTTACCGAAGTAAACAACCCTTTCCAATCGCCGCCCCATATACAGGACGATCCAAAAATTGCATCCACTCCCCCGACTCTCCCCATCCGCAAAAAAGTCAACCCCAACCCCTCCGAAATGGAGCCACGCTCACACTCCCAGTCCTACTCCATCCCCGCAAAACCAAAAGCTTACAACCATTCCACGACGTATTTTAGGATATATACTTTGCTAGCACACCCCATACAACAACTACTACACGCAGACGGGCACGTTTACTGCTACTATGCGCACGAAGCACTGCGCTCGTGCATGTTCATCGGACTCCTGCAGCTAAGCTTGCTTGCTGCGCCCTTCCTCTTGCCCTACCTTTGCACAGGGATGCAATCTCTAAGCTGATCCCATACCTGTGCCTGGTATAGCATGCGTACAGTACACTGACCGCTGTGCTTGCGTGCAAGCTACCTGACTCCGCGCTGCACAAGACTCGCTGTGAGCTATGGCGGCGACTGACTGCCCGGCGGCACCAAACATGACATCTCAGGTATGGACCTCTAAAACAAACCCCCTTTTTTTTTCCCCGGTTGCATTACCTTACACCCTTTCTCCCTCCCCTACGCACCCGCCTATACTAACAGGAGCTAATACAATGCTAATCCCTTTGATGAGCTGCTATGGGTGTTAAGCGGCAAAAAGCGCGCTTTAGGGCGTGCACCCACCCTATGGCTGGGCTCCGACCCATTCCTAACTGCTAACCCGCTAACACTAATCAACTAATCTTTTGCTCCTCCCTCATCTAACTCCCCCCATATAACCCGCAAAATAAAATCTGCAACATCCCCTGCTGCTGCTATCCATAGCCCCTATCGGCTAGCTGATAAAAAACGGGTTCCCGATGAGTTATGACAAGTCTTGTTTCCTATTTCGTTATCGATATGGGATAGCCGTGTTGCTTACACACACACACACCCACACACGCACACACACACACACACACACACACACACACACACACACACACACACACACACACACACACACACACACAATCGAGACGCCGCAACGATGGACGAGGAGGAACAGGAAGAGGAGGATGACAACAACGAAGAAGAAGAGGAGGAGAATAACGGCGGTGATGGAGGAGGAGGAGGAGGAGGTGGAGGAGGAGCACGAGGAAGAAGAGGAGGAGGAGGAGGGGGGGAGCAGAAGGAAGTGGACGGAAAGGAGGAGGAGGAGGAGGAAGAGATAGAGGAAAAGGAGGAGGAGGAGGAGGAAGAAGACGGAAAGGAGGAGGAGGAGGAGAGAGATGAGAAAGACGGAGGAGGAGGAAGGAGGATGGTACGCACCTGCATGGGGGTTCGAACACGTGTCGGGTCGTGGCCGTTGGCGCACAATTTTGACAACGTCCAACTCCCACAACATGCCTAAATCGCGCGGGGGCAGACGGTGGTCGGGGGCGCAGTTCAAATTCAAATTTGGCCCGATATGGGTTGTAGATCTCTTAGATCGGACGGCCCAGACCGGGCCATTTTCGTTTTAATGTTTGGAGGCCCTACCGGCCACACAAAAATCGCCCAACCTAAGCAGGGGTACTACGTACCTTAAACCACACCCCCGCAGGCCCAAAAACCTGATTGGACCCCAAAGCCGATTTTTAACCAGCCTGGACAGTGGGCCTCTCTCAGACGATCGGCGGAGTTGTCTGATCGGACAACCCGGAACAAAAAAAGGTCACGAACGTTCGGGCTGGTAACCTAGGGTACGCTGTGATTCCTTGGTACTTCTCTATCCGCGTAGTTTCAGTTTCCTGGTAACACGTTTATTCAAAAAAGGTCCGAGAATAAATAAAAGCCAAAAAAAGATCAAAGAATTAGTGCCCGAAAGGTAAAGTCCAAGAAGTCTGAAATGTAAAGTTCGAAAAAAAGTCTAAAAATATAAAGTCTGAAATGCCCAAAAAATCTTGAAAAAAGGATCCGTCAGAAACTTCGCTCAGACTTATTTGCGTCAAAATCTATGAAACGAGGTACGTACATCAGAGCCTGTTACTCGTATTTTTCCGATAAACATTTTTAAAGATGATTTTTGAAATCTATTTATCCAGCGGAGATTCCCGGCCCATCATGCCAGTGCTTGTCTTTATCGAAATAAATAGTTTTTACAGTCCATTCTAGAGTTCCTCGTAAAAAACTGGGGTGCTTGGTTTAAAATTCCGGAAAAAATCTGAAGAAAAAAAAAATCCAAGAAAACAATCCGAAGAGATCCGGAACTTCGAAAAATTTGAAAAAAAAAAAAAAGGATAAAAGATAAATAGTTTTCACCAGTCGCCATGATGGTGTCCTTCTTCTGATGAACTTACCCAAGCAGTCTTCGAAGTAATTTTCTAGGTAATTTTGCAATCTCAATGGTCTTTTTAGGGTAAGTATTCCCAACTCTCCTCGTTCCACTTTTGAGGTCATCTGGTATATACGATGGAGGCTGCGTGGTATAACGGCTTTCTTCTGTGGAATTGACGAGTAGGAGTTAAAGTCCTTGATTGTTTTGAAGGTAAGTTTACTTTTATCTTTCCATATTTCGGATTAACTTGGTCGTCACTTTATGTTATTTTTCCACTGTGATTTTCGTACCTAGAAATTCACATTCACCATTTCCTTCATCTGTTCTTTCTAGTATTAGTGCTTAAAGTTTATCATAAGCTGATGAACATTGGTCGATGATATCGATCGCATTCTGGTCATCTCCCTTCCCCTGATACGTCGTCCATTGATCGTGTCCCTTTTACTAGCTTTTGTTGTTCCCTAGACTAGTAGACAAAAAATAATATTCATTATAGGCACATGGGATATAAGCTAGTGGAGGGCTTGTACTCTTAACCATCGAAATTCTCGTTGTTTGTCTGATTAGTCGGTCTGCTGCCATAACGTACGTGTTCTGAAATTCAAAGTTTACCATATTTCAAATATCATTAAACCAGATAATAAGTGGGTTTGTATTTTCATTCTTTAGTGAAAAATAAGTTTTTTTCCCTCTTCTTTTTACTATTAGCACACTTTTCTTTTTCTCTTCATAGAAACGAAATATCTAGTCAAGTACCTTCAGGACAGAGTTATGAGGTAATTTGTTGAACATTTTCTTTATATCGAAGGAGGCACACATTAGTTTTCTTTTTTTTTTACGTCCAATTGTTAATTTCAGTTACTTTACGTACAAGTATATTAAATTTAAAAATTGTAGATTTTATGTTAAAGTGCATGTTCTTTGGTAGGAGAAATGGTAAATGGTCTAAAGTGCGGGCTACGCGGCTTCCGACTGATCGTGAGGATTCAGAGAAGGATGGGCTAATGGGTCAAAATTTGTATAAGTCCTTATTTTTAGGAAGTATGTAGGCTCTTCCACATTTTCTTGATCCGTCTCATTTTTCTATATTCGTCACGTCAGCCTTTTTGTAGTCTTTCTCGTTTTTTCCTAGAATTTCTACTTCACGTCTCCATTTAGTGGCAAAACTTTTATTTCCCCCAAAAACATCCATCATGCTTTATGCGTAAGGATTTTTATCAATTGATATTAATACAAAATCCTTCCCCAATTATTTTAAAAAGTCTGTTGAACGTTTTTCAAAGTTACTTGAAAAGCATAAAGTTTTAAAGCATCTCAACACATCTCTCATCATCAGTGATATATTTACTCTCATTTTCATCAATGCATCGTTCAGTTCAGTTATAATTTTTTTCTCTCTTCCCTTTTGATTCAAAAAAATATTATTCCTAACATTTTTTACAAAAAAAATCTAGTCCTTCTTGTTGACTCACCCTGCATAACACGTGTCCTTTTTTTTTCGGGAGTTTTCATTCCACACATGTGCAGACTCCCACCGGTGTTTGTGCTACATTCCGGTGGTTATGAAGAATATCAGCGACTGATCTGTTTTTTTCGCCAGACAGTTGTGATTTTCTTACACATGAAAGCAGCTTCAGCAAGAGGAAGGCAATTTAACAAATGATCCGTCATAATTCTTCTTAGTCCTCTTTTATTTAAACTTACATCGTAAGTTACTGACACACAATGTTTCCTACTCGTATTAAAACCAAATTTATTTCATAATACCCCGCTAATTACATCTCTCAGATTATTGCGACAAATCACTTGTGAAAAAAGGTTCGTCGCCAGAAAGAGTTCCAACAATTCCTCTAAAGATAGTTTATAAAGCTTTCTCTTCGCTCACAAGTTCTTTAATAGCTTATGCAAGTCATCTTTAAGTTTTTTGTTTCATTTAGATATAGTACCTCCTTTCAAAGTACGGAGTGTGAAATTTCCTCCCTTTTTCGGATCTTCTTTAAGTTTGGTTAGCGTGATAGTGAAAATATCTCTTAAAAAAATACTTTGTCCAATTTCCCTTATCTCGACTTTTCGTTCTGACACCCAAAACTTTCCTCCATACGAAGATATAATTTTGTTTCCTATTGATGCAGCTTTACATATATCAGCTAGATTAACGGATTCTAGGTCCTCTATCTTGAAAACGATTGGTCGTTTATACTTTTTACGTTCTTTCCTCCCCTTTCGGTTTTTCTTTTTCTTTACAGAGGTATGATTACGACATCTGGAATTTAGTGTAGGTGTCCATCTTTTAATAAATCTTTTTTCTACGTGTGATAAGTCTAGAGTAGGAACAAAAGATATAGGTACGACAATATTTTTATTACAACCTACGTTACCAACTGTGCGATGGGGAGACGTCTCCCCCGGACGTCTCCGGGAGATGTTTGGGGGGAAGTTGTCCGTTGCCACAAAAAAAAAAAAAAAAAAGTGGGGGGGGTCAACGTACTGCCAGGGGACCCTCCAAAAAAACATTGAGAGCATTCTGATAAAAAAGTGTCAAAAACCAAAAAAACAATAGAAACAGGGTTTGGGGTGTGTGTGGGGAGGGGTGGGCAGGGTGGTTGGGGGGTTTCAATGGGGGGGCCACTGCTCCTCTTCCTCTATCGGGACCTCCTCCTCCTCCTCCTCCTCCTCCTCTTCCTCCTCTTCCTCGTCCTCTATCCGGGCCTCCTCTTCCCTTTTCCTCCTCCTCCTCCTCCTCCTCTATCGGGACCTCCGCCTCCTCCTCCTCCTCTACCGGGACCTCCTCCTCCTCCTCCTCCTCCATCGGGACCTCCTCCTCCTCCTCCTCCTCCTCCACCACCACTTTCTCCTCCTCCTCCTCCTCCTCCGCCTCCGCCTCCTCCTCCTCCATCGGAACCTTCTCCTCCTCTTCCTCCTCTTCCTCCTCCTCCTCCTCCTCTGTCGGGACCTCTGCCTCGTCCTCCTCTACCGGGACCTCCTCCTCCTCTATCGGGACCTCCTCCTCCTCCTCTATCGAGACCTCCTTCTCCTCCTCTATCGGGACCTCCTCCTCCTCCTCCTCCTCCTCCTCTTCCTCCTCCTCCTCCTCCTCTATCGGGACCTCCTCTCCCTCTTTCTCCTCCTCCTCCTCCTCCTCTATCGGGACCTCCGCCTCCTCCTCCTCCTCTACCGGGACCTCCTGCTCCTCTATCGGGACCTCCTCCTCCTCGTCGTCCTCCTCCTCCTCTATCGGGACCTCCTTCTCCTCGTCCTCCTCCTCCTCCTCTATCGGGACCTCCTCCTCCTCCTCGATCGGGACCTCCTCCTCCTCCTCCTCCTCCTCCTCCGTCTCGCCGCAAACTTAAATCCCCTTGTTTGAGACGTGAGAGCCCCCACTCTCCTCTTTTTTTTTCTTTTTTTTTTTTTCCTCCTACATCCGTCGCCACCCATCCATCCATCCCGACAGACCAATCAATCAATCAATCTCCTTCTTCTTCTCTAGGGGCACTAACGTTATTATATTCGCTTCCTATTTTGTTGCTCTCCCGGCTTCCGCTTTTTTCTTCCTCTCATTTGCCTCCTTCTGCTTTTGTTCTTCCTCCTTTTTTTCCAATTGCTTTTTCATAAAGTCACCATACTTTTCAAAGACTCCGCTATCTCATTACTCAACACTCTTGTCTTTGTTGTGTTTGCACATGCATCCGGGCTACTTGACATTCGCGTGAGTTGTGCCCAAATTGGCCGTCGCTGTAGCACAAAGAACCTCTCCGTTATCCTGCTCCTCCATTATTTTATCCTCCGCCATTTCCGTTCCAATTCCCCCCTCCGTTGTTCCAATTTCCATTGTCTCCAATGTTTCCGTCACTTCCACCATTTCATCCTCCTCCATTTCCATTATTCCATCCCCCCGATCCTCCTCCGTTTCCATTATTCCATCCTCCATTTCCGTTGTTCCAGCCACCACTACCATTAGTGTTCGATCCTCCTTAGCCTTCATTTCTTCCGTTCCATCCTCCACCATTTCCTTGAGGTGGACGAGGTGGTCCGGTTCTGAAGCCGAACCGACCATTCCCTTCGTTTCCACTCATGACTCTACACGGTAGGTAATCAGATATTTCTCTTGTCTTTGCTAATGAGTGGCTGCTAAGTAGTAATTACTAGAGAGTATCCAACTCGAGAGTCACTTGCTATCTTGAGAGTAACTTGAGAGTAACCTAAGAGTAACTTTAGGGCTACAGGGTAACCAAACCATGTGAGCCTCTAGCCGGTTGCCACTGCCTTTACCAATTGGAGTACGAAAGTTGGAGCCGACTTCAACGGAGACTGAGATCAGTAGTATGCAAAAACACAGGCACGCTGAGAGCACGCCAAATTGTGTATCTTCGGAATTTAAAAAGTAGCATTTTTTTTAGCATCATCTGAAAATTCTTATTAGATTTTGAGAAAACAAATAAAAACAATTTCGGATCTATATATTAAAAAATCGGACAGGGTTCCTAGCGTATGAGTAGCGTACGTCGTACGAGTACATGAGTACGAATCCGTACTCGTACAAGGGTGCGTAGAAGTGGCAACGCATGTTTGAACGAAATTTATTGAAGATTCTAAAAGTACAGTATTAAGGTCTCCTGTAGGATCAAGATTCTACGTGAAGTAAAATAACTTCAATAAAAAGGTTATTTTTTAGAACCACTGGAATGGGTGAGGAAAATAACACGTTTTCCCCTAAAAAATCACTAACAAGCAAAGCACCGTTTATTAAGGAATCAAAATATGTAGTTCTTTTATTTTCTCAAAATATTATGTATAGAGTCTTATAAGTCATGTAAGATGGAGAATGTATATGAGGGTTTCGTGAGCAGATTAACATGTTATCTTGTTTGTAACCTACGTAGCACCGTGTTAGCGTTTGGAGGCGAACGCGAACATGTTCGCCCGAAGGCGAACAGGCACCCAAAACCCTCCGAACGCGAACATAAAATTATTAAAAAAAAAAAAAAAAGTTCTCAAAAAAATCTGAAAAAAATATATGTTATGTAAACCTGCGTAGCACGCCTAATGTGTTCGCGCGTTCGTGCGAACAGCTTGCGAACATGTCCGGGATAACATTTTTTTTTCCGTATATATATATATATATATATATATATATATATATATATATATATATATATATATATATATATATATATATATATATA